AGTAATGCTGCTAGGAACATGTATATACTCACACATGCACACATATATACATGCATGTATATATGTATGTTTGTGTGTATATATGTATATATGTGTGTATATGTGTGTACACACATGTATATAAATACATACATATATATGTGTGTATGTGTGTATATATATATAAATATATATATTTATATATTTACAGACAGGCCTTTTTCCTCTGCTTTAGGGTATAGGCCTCATAGGGAGATCACCAGGTTGTGGGTATGAGCAGTTTTATGGCACTCATTGTATGTCACTCGGCTGCTTTTCAAAGCAATTGCACCATTTCATAACTCTGGCTGTATAATAGCTAGCCTGTTTCTCCACAGTCCTACCAGCATTGCTTTTTATCATTTTATTACCACTTTTGCCAATTTCACGGGCTTTAGTTGATTCTCAGATTGCTAGAGTTCACTTTCATCTTCTGAAGTGCCCTTCCCACTTGTGTCCATATCATATATGGTATTCAGGCTGTGGAGTCAAAATGTGGTTTTCCTGTCATTGATCATTTCATCAGTAAGCATGTATTAAACACCTGTTGTGTGCCAGGTACTTTGCTAGATGTTGGGGATCTAGAGACAAAAATTAAATAGCCCTTAGCCTCACAGAACTTACGTTCTATTAGAAGAGACAACATATACATAGAGAAATCTAGAAAATCAATAAAAGGTACTTTGGGGCAAAAGCACTGGGAGCTGGGGGGACCAGCAAATGCTCAATCATGAGCCTCAGTCACATAAGAACACTGGATAATATGTTCCATTTTACCTCTACTTTTTCTACTGCTTTCATTTTCATCTATAAATGCTCTTAGACCTTGTTTCGCTGGGTCTCCCAACAAGGTTTCTTCAGGCTGGTTTTCCTCTACCATACTTTAACCTCCTTTATAAGATGACATTGCTCATAATCCTCAGTAATTGCAACCCATAATCTTATAATAGGGAAGATGCATACTGAAAATCCTATGCTGTAAAGAGGAGTTACATAGGAGCCAAAGATATTGCCAAGAAAGGTATTAAGACAAGTTGGAGAAGGGGAAGATGGGGGGGGGGGGCTGGCACACAGTAGGTGCTTAATAAGTACTTACTGATTGATTGCTTGATTTTAGCTGGAAGAATTATGGAAGGCTGCATGGAATCACCTGACATCAATGCAGACACAAGGGAGTGACTTCAGTGGATAGAAAGGGAAGCCAGTCCTTTCTATACATGGGCAATGGTGTGATCAAAGGTATGGAAACAGTAACAGTAAAGCAGAGAATGGAAGAATCATAGAATCTAGTCTTGGGACAGCTAGGTGATGCAATAGGTAAAGTGAGTACCTGGCCTCATCTTCCTATGTTCAAATCCAGCCTCAGATACTTACTAGATGTGTGACCCCGGCCCAGTCACTTACCCCTGTTTGCTTCAGTTTCCTCATCTGCCAAATGACCTGGAGAAGGAAATGGTAAACCACTCCAGGATCTTTACCAAGGAAACCCCACATTGGGGTCACAGAGAGTCAAATGTGACTGAAATGACTAAATAATAAAAAGATCTAGCGCTAAAATATCCTTTAGAAGCAAGTTGGTCCAATCCCCTATTTTACAGATGAAGAAACTGAGACTCAGAGAAATTAGCCAGATTGCCCAGTCACACAGTTAGCAAATTGTCTCTACAGGTGGGCTAAATCAGGTCGATGTTGGTGAGTTGGGGGATGTCTCCCCAGGCATGTGCAGACTTTCCCTGGCAGAATGGGAGGTTGAGAACAACTTGTTCCAACGACCATGAAGGCGGCTGAAGCAGGCGCTGTGGAGGGCTGAGAGCTTGGTCAGATGTTGAAGACACCAAGGTCACCCACTGCTTCCTGGGCCATCGCCAATTGCCCTGATTTTTGTCTTGTCCGCAGACTTCGATGACTCTGGAATAGAAAGTGAGTGGTGATTTTGTGCAACCCTGCCTCACTTAAATCCAGTTCATGTACAAGGTTGGACATCGCCCTGATGTCATTGGTCCTCTCCGAAAAATTGAAGAATAGCGACAGTTCGCAAGGTGATTTTTCTAAAGCATAGAACAGACTAGGTTACTCCTTTGCTTCATGAGCTTCACTGGCTCCCTATTACCCCAAGGATCCAGAATAATCTCTGTTTGGCCTTTCAAGCTCTTCATAGCCTGGCACCCACCTCCTTTTCCAGTCTTATACGGTACTCTGCTCCATACATGGGAGTCCATCAACACTGGCTGGTTCCTCATTCCTCCCGCCCAACGTTTCATTTCCAGGCCAGTGTCTACACTGGCTGTCCCCCAAAACTGGAAAGCCCTCCCTCATGGCCAGCTCCATCTCTTGGTTTCTCTGACTTCTTTCAAGCCTCACCTCGAAACCGACGTTCTCCACCTCCCCAATGGCAACTGCCTTCCTCTCTGAGATCACCTCCCATCTGCTCCCTATAGACCTGGCCTGTACCGGCTATTTACCTGCTCCCCTTTGAATGTAAACTCCCAGTCAAGAGGGGCCGTTTTAACCTTTTTTTTTTTAAATCCCCATCCATTAGCCCAAGGCAAGCTTCTCACAGGCTTTGTTGATTAATATCCAGATGTCTATCCCAGAGCTCCATCATGGGCCCTGTGCATGTCCCCTGGCCTCTTTCTGTACTTATCAGCTCCAGTGATCACAACTAGGCTAAATTCTCCTAGGGCTGTCATTTAGCTTAGCTTAGGCTCAGTTTCCTCATCAATTGATCAAGCCACAAGCATTTATTAAACACCTGCTACGGGCCAAGCACTGTGCTAGTCCTAGAGATATAAGGACAGGAGTCCTTACCCTTCGGGGCTGACATTCTGTCCTGGGAGACAGGTGCAAGAATAAAGTATATAGGGGCAGCTAGGTGGCCCAGTGAACAGAGCATCGGCCCTGGAATCAGGAGGACATGAGTTCAAATTCAGCCTCAGACACTTGATACTTACTAGCTGTGTGACCCTGGGCGAGTCACTTAATCCCAATTGCCTAACCAAAAAAAAAAAAAAAACCCAAACAAAACAAAAAACAAAAACAAGAATAAAGTATATATAAGATACAAAGAAAAAATTAAAAGTAGTGGAGGGAGAAGGTCCCTGCAGCAGCAGGAATGGTGTCGGGAACAGAGGCATGTGGGAGGTGGCTCTGGGGTTGAGTTGTAGAGAGAATTAGGGATTCTCAGAGGGAGAGGAGGGTAGGATAGCTGCAATATGCATAATCCTAATTCACACCTTACAGAAGGCAGTCTGGCATCACACAGAGTAGTGGCATTTAAGAGTCAGAGGACTTGAGGCAGCTAAGTGGCCCTGCAGTGGATAGAGCAGGCCTTGGAGTAAGAGGAATTGAGTTAAAATCCTGCCTCAGACACTTACTAGCTGTGTGACCCTGGGCAAGTCATTTAACCCTGACTGCCTCAACAACAAAAAAACAAAAGAATCAGAAGACGGGTTCAAATCCTGCCTCTCTCCCTCTTCCTCAGTTCATGCTCTTGTAAAATGGTGAGGATTAAATTAAAGCATACATAAAAGGATGATTTACTATCAGCTTGTTCAGCCCTCTCATTTTACAGATGAAGAAACTGAGGCCCAGAAAGAAGAGGACCTCACCTCGTGAGTCCCAGAGCTGAAGATAATAAGGACAGCCTCCTAAACATCAGTCTAAGCTCCTGGACTTAATCCACGTCCTTATGAAGGACTTCATAAACAGGAGAGGGTTTTAAGGCAAAAGCTACAAACTCAAAAACCAGTAACGGGAAAGTAAGAAAATAATTATTATTTTCATTATTTTAGTATGACTTTAGCCATAACCTATGGTGTGAAAAATTGCTATATGGTCCTTGGCAAGCATTAAGCTTACTCCCAGCTTCTCCCCTTGGACTGCCTTCTGTCTCAGCTGACATTTGTAGCGATTGGGGGTCACTGGATGAGTCAAGAGGACCTAGGTTCAAATCCAGACAGACATATACTAGCTGGTTGGCCCTCTGGGCAAATCACTTCAACTCTCTGAGTTTCTTCTACTAGAAAATGGGGATAATAATAGCCCCTACCTCCCAGGGTTATTGTGAACATCAAACGAGCTGATATTTGTAAAGTGCCTGAAAACCTTAAATTACTGCCTAAAAGCTAGCTGTTATTTTTATGTTGTTCTTATCATCATTATGTCGTTGTGATTATGTTGTTATGTTATTCTTATTATCATTGTTGTGGTGATTATGGTCTGGCCTCCAGATCACAGCGGCCAAGAAGAAAGTGAGGAGAAGGAAGAGATGAGGAGGAAGAGGAGGGGAAGGTAAAGAGAAGGCGGTGAGAAGAAGGTGAGGAAGAGGAGGGGAGGAGGAGGGAAAAAGAGAGGAGGAAGAGGTAATGGGAAGGAAAGGAGGGGAGGAGGAGGAGGAGGTAAGGAGGAGGAAAAGGAGGTGAAGAGGAGGAGGAGGTGAGGAGGAGTTAGTAAGGATCAGCAGCAGCTGCAGCGGCCGCCGTAGCTGCTGACATCAGCTCTGTCTCCTTGTTTTCGAGGACACTAGGCAGGCATGAGTCAATTGCACTCCTCCCCCCTCCCCTCCCGCTCCTCTCCCCGCCCCTCCTCTCCCGGCCCCGCCCCCGACTCGCGGCCAGACTACAAGTCCCAGCAGGCCCGGGCCGGCCGGCGCAGGCGCAGCGAGGCCCGAGTTTGAGTGGCAAGTTGTTTGTTAGACTGTAACACCAGCTGCTTTCTGCACTCGGGAGCTGCGCGGCTCCTCTGCCCCTCAACTCCTCCTGCGGCGGCTCCGAGCCTCGGCTCGCTCTTTCTCTCCGCCGCCCGCGGCCGGGGCAGCCCGAGCAACTTTAGGGCGCTGCCTTTGCCTCTTCCCCCAAGCCCCGCGCTTCTCCCCCTCCGCGTCCCCCAGCCCCGGGAGCCGCGCCGAACCCCTCCCCTCCAATCAGCCCCGCCGACGGTGCCCCGTGGGGGGGGAGGGGGCGGGGGCCGGGGTGGGGGGGCGCTGAAGGGAGTGAGACCCCCGTGCGCCCCTCGGATGAACTAACTCCCAATGAGAAAGAGGAAAAGATGGAGCTTCACATCTTAGAACACCGGCTGAAAGTGGCCAGCATAGCCAAGGAGAGCGTGCCTCTGTTTACCTACGGGCTCATCAAACTTGCCTTCCTGTCCTCCAAGACCAGGTGAGTGTGCCCGGGGGGGCCCACGCACCCGCGCCCCGGCGCCCGATCGCGGGGAGACAAAGAGGCTGCAACTGAGCCGGCTTCCCTGGGCTAATTCCCTTGCAAGAGCGGGGAGGGGGGAGGAGGGAGGAGGGGAGGGGGTGGGGGGAGCGGAGAGGGCTAGAAAAAACAACTTCGTGCCTGTGGATCCCCCCCTCCTCTTCTCCCCCCCCCCCCGCCTTGGCTCTGCCCCCTCTCCTCCCTGAGCCTGCCTGGGGGTGGGGGGGGGCCGGGGGTGTTTATGACAAAGCCAGCCGGGCTGCCCCTTGGCTGGGTCTTTCCACTCTCTGTCTGTCTCACCACCCCCCTCCCCTCCTCTCTTCTCTTCTCCTCTCTCCCTCCCCCCCACCTCCCTCTCTCCCTCCCCCCCTTGGAAATCTGGAGAGCCGGGGAGAAGGGAGGGGGAGGAGGAGGAAGAGGAGGAGGAGGAGGAGGAGGAGGCGGCTGCAGTCGCGAATGAATGAATGAATGAATGAAAAACAGGTGTGGGGAATGTGGAGGGAAAAACAGTGAAAGTAAAAAAAAAAAGGGGAGAGAGAGAAAGAAAAGAATCGGTTCGTTCCAGGGACAACAAAGAGCTGGGGGCCTGGGGGGGGGGGGGTGGGGAGAGAGCACCGGACGGAGGGAATCTGCCCAGAGCAGTTATGGGGAGGGGGGTGGATCATAAAATCCTGAATGTGTGTTTATGTCAAGGTGTCTGGTAGAAATTGAGAAGAGCCTGGGGGCCAAGGAGTGCAGAAAGGCTCGGGTCCTCCCTGCAACCTTCTGCTTTTTGGGGGGGGGGTATCTTTAAAATCTCATTATTAATCATTATTATTGTGCCTGGAAGAACAGTTTACAAAGCCGTGCAAAGGGTGGCAGTTATATTCACTGTGTTCGGGGTGGGGTTTTTTTTGGAGGGGGGCGATGCTGCAAAGACAACCTCCCCCCAAAAAAGGAATCCTCCCCAAGGCCTTTAGAACTTCAGTGGCCAAAGGTGTCTCTGACTTGGCAGGCTGGGTGGGTGCCCTGGCTGGATCTGTTTGTCAGGCCCCAGGGCTGTATGGATGAAGGGCTGTGAGAGAGAGAGAGAGAGAGAGAGAGAGAGTGTGTGTGTGTGTGTGTGTGTGTGTGTGTGTGTGTGAGAGTGAGTGTGTGTGTGTGTGAGAGAGAGTGAGTGTGTGTGTGTGTGTGTGAGAGTGAGTGTGTGTGTGATTCCGGCTGACACTTAAGTGTTTTGTTTTTCCCAATGCTTATGACTTCACTTTTCATCGGCTACCCTTTCCAATTCTGGCTTAACTGGGGGTGGGGGGGTGGGGGGTGCTGGAAGAGAAGCTCCTGGCTTTTGGAAGTTGTTGTGACTGTTGCTGTTGCATTTTTTCCCCTCCTTTCAAAAAAAAAAAAAAGAAAAAAGAAAGTTGCAAGTCAAGGTTAAAATTAAAATAACCGGTTTCTGCTTGGCGGGTTGGAGATTAAAAAGGGTGGGGGGAGATAGAATTAGAAGGGTCATTGAATGGGACTGTCTTTAACTGCTCTGGTTAACTTCTTACTTGCTTGTCTGGAAATCTTCCTAGATTTGTGCCTCTGCTCCCCCCAAACACACACCCCCATTGTTTGTCTAGGTCCTGTTTACTGAGTATCTTGTTGACTTTCTTAGCCTGGGCTTTTAAGGATGGAAATCTCCATATGAATTTGGCTTTTGCTTCAATTTCACGGTAACTGAGGCTAGAGGAGCCCAACCCTATTTTTTTTTCTTAAAAAGGTAATTATTAAACAAGTCCTCTGTTTAAAAAAAAAAAACAACAACCACCCCTCCCCCCCCAAAAAAATCCCCCCCCAAATTAAATATCCGGATATGTTATCAGGTGGGGGGAAGTCTCAGTATAAAATTCCTCCTTACCCTCCTCAGGGCCCCCAGTGATGGGGTACACTAGTTAAGCCCCCTTGCTTTTTTTTGTTTCCCTCCCCTTCTGCTTCTTGTCATACAGGCAACTGGAGGTTGACTTGCCTGTACCATAGTCATCTAGTGGGGGATGACTCAGGCTGCAGTTGAGTCTTTTCGGGGGGGGGGGGGGGGGGGGGGGGATGGGGGGGGGGGGGGGGGGGGG